CAGGACGGCGTGGACGGGCTGCCCCGGGAGGCAGCGAGCGCGGAGCAGCCGCCCTCTCCAGCATCCACCGGCAGCCAGGAATCCAAGGTACGGCGCGCACTTGCCCCAAGAGAACCCAACTCTCCTGTCCCTCTCTGTCCACCTTTGTTTCCTCTGAACTGGCGCTGGCGCGGGAGGCTGAGGCGCGCCCCTAAGTGGCCCAGGGTTCAAGGACTGCCCTCCCTGGAGACTCGAGTGTCCGGCTTGACTCGCTGCTAACGGGGCTGGCCCAGGTTCCTGCGGACCCAGCCTCCGCGCCCTCCCACACCCTGCGGGCGCACGCGAGCCACCTGGACTCCGGGGTCCGAGAGCGCTTGCTTGGGGTGAGGGTGGGGTTTGGGGGCTCGGTGGTTCTTTGCCTGTTTGTGTCCCAGACGCGTGTAGGTATTAGGCGGCTTCTGAAGGCTGAGGGGCAGGGTACCCAGGGATACTCCTCCAAAAAGCCAGGGCGCGCGCGGGCCAGCCAAGGGTAGCCTGCACCCCTAGGCTCTCGGGGACCCTGTGCCCAACAGGGCTCGCCCCTAACTTCAGGTGCGGCTGGTTTCAGAAAAACTGGGCGAAGGGAAATGCCGAGATCGCGGGAAAGCGGGCGCTCCTCTGGGTGGAAGTTGATACTCGAGGAACTTTCCTTTGCTTATGTGAGTGACTCCGGCACCGACGCAACCCGACCCCGCAGCACCGCTCCCGTCGCTGCCGCTCTGAAACTCGCTGGGTGCCAGGCACACGCTTGGAAACCTTGGCACGGGATCAAGCACGGTGCCGCTGCTGGCAGTGAGATGCCATTTGGAGTGGAAATTGTAAGATGGAGTTGTTTGTAGTTCTATGGATTGTGTTAGAAGCGCAAGGTTCCTGGCTCTTGATACAGATCTCCCAGCTGAGTACCCCCAGCATCTTTCCAGTGGGGGGAAGGCAGCGTGTAAGAGCGAAGGAAAGAGGGGTGCAGGTCCCATGGGGCAAAGGAGAGCCCCCGCCCCTTGTCTCCCTTCCCACACATCCCTGGAAGCCACTGACACATCAGCAGGAGCAAAATCCCAGCTAAGTGGCTCTCTGTTTAAGTGACGCTGGGCACTGTGCGCGTCCCAGCCTCCGGAAGGTAGAGGGTGATCCAAGACACAGCTCTGCCTTGTTTTTATTTTAATGTATTTTTTTTCTGATAAATGCCTGACCTGGGGACATGTGTCAACTTTTCTAAAACTCGGTTGGAAATAGGGACAAAGCCTCACTTTCCAGAGTCACTGCGGGGAATGCGTGAGATGACCTGACCTCCGCCCTGAGGAAAGGAGATGGCCTCCATCTCCCACAGGTGATCCCTCCAAAGCAGCCTGGCACCCCACACACCTGTACCACCTCTCCTCCAGCCAGGACTTTCTGGGCGTCTCATTGCCCATCCCTGACCATGAGTCACCTCAGTGATATGGGTCAGTGGCCATTTCAGAGGTGATCTAGGATACTGTAAGTGAATGCAGCTAAACTCAAGAGTAAACTGCATTAAACTTTTTTTTTAATCCTCACTTGAGGATATGTTTTTATTGATTTTTAGAGAAACACTGATGAGAGGGAGAAACGTCGACCAGTTGCCTCCTGTAGGCGCACCAACCTGGAATCAAACCCGCAACCTAGGTATGGGCCCTAACCGGGATTCGAACCCGAAACCTTTTGGTGCACAGGGTGATGCTCCAGCCAACTTAGCCCCCTGGCCGGGTGGCAATAACCTTTTTGAACTGGGCCTGTTGCTCTGCAGTCGGTGTGTTCTGGAAAGGGCACAGCATCTGGATATACAGCAGCGGGGTTCACGCGCACCACATGCATTTGCTATTTATGGATATCCCAATGTAAATTCTTTGGCAAAGCAAAAGCTACCTGTGTAATACCCGTAATTAACCACCAATTTATCTGGCTTATGGTTCTGGATTTGTACACGTCCGTTTTCCTCAAACATACCCAAAGTGTGTTTATACATTCCTGAATTTGCTGAGGTGCTCTTAAATCAGTGGACGTGGGCTGTGCGTTGCAGGCGGGGGGGAGACATGAATCCCAGGATATTGAAGACGAAATAGTGTGCCTGAATGAATTTTTCTTGGCATAGCTTTATGAGATTCTCCAAGGGGTCCGTGCCCCTCCAAAAGGCTATTTCTGGTGAGGACTGTGTGGTAAGGAGGTAGGATGGCGAGAAACGGGGGCAGGGGAGGCTCTGTTCACCCCACCCCAGGAACACCGTGTCTGAAGGCCCGTTGGCATTTACAAGAATCTTCCTACAGACGAGAGCCTGGCGAGGAAAATGTGAGCAAGGCATTAGTAATCATCCCGTCTTGCTCCTCGGAAGTGGTCTGTCTGCCAAAACACCGAGCGGGGCAAGCATGGGCACTCAACTTTCTCAAGTAATGTTTTTAAAATAACTTTTGAATAAAACTTTTCTCTCTGATAAGAGTAACAAATACTTTTTGTAGAAATTTGCAAAGTCCAAACAAAAATAAGGAAAAGAAAAAGATCTTTTTTTTCATGGTCCCAATCCACAGGCAACTACTGATAATATTGGACCTATATTTTATGGGTTTTTCCATCTCTTTTATATTTGCACAGTTGAGAGGACACTGGCGAGCACCTACTGAATGCCTGCTACACGTCAAGCACAACTTGACTCTCAGGATTACCCTAGGAGGGCGATTGCGCTAATATTTCCATTTTATGGATAGGGAAGCGGAAGCTCAGAAAGGTGACTTACCCAGGAGCACCGAGTTGAGTGACACAGTAAGGACAGGGACCCAGGTGGCAGTCAGGAGTGTGAGTTTTCAACCACAGCACAGCATCCCTCATTTCACCTAGCATCCTAACCAAGTATTTTACATGCCCCTGAAAGCCAGAAAGCCATTTACAACACCTTTGGGCTTCTCATCTTAAGAAATATTTGAAAATGAATTGAGCTACATTATCACATAGAATGATTAAAGATCAATTCTTGTCCAGTTTCATTGCTTTTGGTTTTGCTGCCCTTTCCCCGAAAGTATATTTATGGAAGTAAATAAATGGAATATCACAGAGTCATCTGGAAAATGGGGCCACAGCAAACCGTGCAGTCTAGAGGGTTCATCAGAAGAGAAATGTTGATGATTCAGTGCCCTGAGCACATAAAATGTTTCCAGAAGTACATTTCTTTGCAGATTCTTGGAATGCTAAGTCATCGGATGTCAGAATTGGAAACACTAAAGATCATCTATTCCAGGTATTTTTAAATTATGGATAATTTTTATTATGTAAATTTATTTTATGGTGGAGAATGTCAACATACTCATAAGTAGAGAAAACAGTTTGGAGAAACATCATGTACCCAGTCACCTGGCTTCATCAATTACCATCCATCCTCTTGTTTCATCTATTACCCCACACACACACACTGGATGACTTTAAAGCAAATTCCAGACATCACCTTATCTCATCCATAACTATTTCAGGTCCCATCTCTAAAAGGCAAGGGCTGGTTTTGTAAACATGAGTACAATCCCATTATCACGTATTCCAGGTGTCTAAATTAAGGGTCAGTATATCCTTTGGAGGTTTATGATGGTCTTGGGAAAGACCATGAACAACCAGAACATTCAAAAGTGTGCAAATACATGCAAATGTGCATCGTCTGGGGAACAGATTATTAGCTTCTGTCAGGTCAATAAAGTGTCTATAGCCTTCAAAGTTTATTTAAATATCCCTCTTTCTTTTCTCTCTTGAGTAAATCCAGGCCCAGAGGGAGGCAATGGCTTGCCTAAGATCACACAGCTAGTTGCTGGCAATACCCCTGTCTAACAACCCTGTCTTGAAGTTTGGACACCCCAGTACAGTTTCCTCAGACAGTTCCTGTAAGCACAAGTGGCAACGTAGTTTACATGGTTTTCTTTTTCATAAAATTAGTTGAGTTGAAAGAGTGTGAAAGCCATGGACCTCACCCATCCATCTTTTCACTAACTATACCAGAAAAATCACAACCTAATTTATTTTCTATGTGCTTGACAGAGAACATTGAATACTAAGAAAAAAATTCACATTTCAGCATCCCTAATTTCAATGAATGTCTTTTCTCCTACCAATTTATTTACAACCTAGACACCTCACTAGGGTCTAATAAGAAGGTTTGGTATGGCTGCCCTTTACCAATACTTATATGACCCAAGGTCACATTGTGGTAATATGAAGGGATTCTAGGTTTTGAGGTCAAATGGACAAGAATTCATATCTCTGCTCATCATTTGCCACCTTTGTGACCATGGGTAAGTTACCTAACCTGTCTGAGCCTCAGCTTCCTAACCTCTAGAATGGGGATGCTAATACCCAATTGGCATGATTTTTTGCAGGGCCTAAGACTATGTAAAGCAGCTAATATGTTATCAGCATATGTAACCTTAAAACATTGTTTACTTTCTCTCCCTGCTTCAAATTAGATGGCATCTGTCACTAGCCAACCCCAAATGTCATCACTGGAAGAATTTCAGTAATCAAAACTGATATGCCAATAATGTAACTGAGTTTTCCTCCCTTTGGAATTATAGTTATGCTATTGATTGCAGGGAGATTTCACCTGAGCTATTTTGCATCCCCAAGAAGATAAGCCATAGACTCACCAACATGTGACTTCAATTTTGAAAGGGTGATATAAGCCACTCAGTGCCTCACTGGAACCAGGGACCAAGGTGCCCCTCATTCCAGGACATGGTCCTCTCTGACCTGGACCACCATCCAAGCTGGAGAAAAGAAACCCCTAACCATGAGGACATGCCCTGCATCTTCCAGAAGGCTTTTGTGGCATCAATCAGCAACTGTTTATTGAATGCCTGTTTTGTGCCCAGTGCATCCCATACATAAATATGAAGCTACTACTATTGATAAGGAGTGTGACTTCTACTCAGGAGGGGAGATGAAAGGAAGTCCAGGTCAGAGGCTAGACCTGCTAAATTGAAATCGCTGAGTGAGGGTCCCAGGCATCAGTATTTTTTTAAAACTTCCTTAGGGATTTCATTGTGCAGTCAAGTGTGAGAAACACTAGTCTAGACTATAAAGATTGT